GGGGGGGGGGGGGGGGTGGGGGGAAAGAAAGCGAATCCAGGAGATGGGAGCCACACATGAACGAGTATGCCTTCAATATCCATTTATCCTTCCATTTATTTATACTTTTTCCCTACGGCCGGAAGAGAAATAAAGGCAAGAAAGTAAAAAGGGGAGGGGAGGGAACCTTCAAAAAGAGGGAAGAAACGGGAGCGTCATTCGATCAAGTGTCTTAAGGCGAGGAGCCACCGAGCACTATGCAAGACCATAACAAAAGTAATTTAAATGCCAAAACGGCGATGAGGCAAGAATGCACATTTGGGGCGGGGGAGGACCCCAGAGGTGCCGGAGCCCTCATTTGCAACCATCTCTGTGTTTCGGCGACCGGTCCAAGCTCAGCCACGTTCCCAGGCTCTAACGCCGCCGCCACCTCCACCGCCGCCGGGCATTTACCTTTCCCAGCACTTTCCCGCGGCAATATCTCCTTCCCGTGGTGGGGTCTGTAATAATCCGAGAAATCTCGGGAGCCGAATGCGAATGGTGGTGGTGGTGGTGATGGTGGTGGTCGGACGACTCCGCCGCCTTCTTTCTTCGCGAGTCCCCGCCGCAGGCTTTACCCAGCGCCTGCTCCCCCATCTTACTGCCGCTGTTTCCACCGCCAGCGCCACTGCCAGCGCCACTACTGCCACCGCCACCTCCTCCGCTAGCTCCTGTACCGCCCGGCTGGTAAGCGATAGTCCTCAGTAAATCCATTGCTCCTTCGGCTGGCCCTTCCCAGCACCCCAACCCCGCTCCTTCTCTCCGGGATCCACTGCCCCGCTAGCTGTGCGAAGCGTTCGGCCGTTCGGCATGCCTTTATAGGGCAGCGGCAGGCCCCGCCCAAAGCCCTGACGTCACAAACGCGGCTTGTCAGTCCGTCCCCTCGCGCCCAGGTGAAGTTCTGCGCGGGTTGGCCTGGGCGGCGGTGTTCTGTGTCAGCCGCGGCGGCAAAACGCGCCGCGATGTGGGCTGCCGTTCGCGGCTCCAAGGTCGAGTGCTCTTGGCTGGGAAGAAGAGCTTTTTCTGTGTTTGATAACAAGCCTCCGTTCCAGCTCAATCCTGTTCACTGCTTGAACCCTGTGGGACTTGCTTCCAATCAAATGCGTCGGCTTTTAACCTCCCATAGACGCCCAAGCGTTCCAAACAGACCGGCCTGGCCAAGGAGCTGGATATTTACATTCCATTGTGACTGTGACCCAGAATAAAGAAGGTCCATCCGAGTCCTTCAGGAGTGAGAAAAGTTCAAAATGCTGTAAAATAAAGAAAAGCAACCATAAAGAGGGGCAAACAAGGGGGCACATCCCTCTGCCTCCCTACTTCTGCCTTCTTTCTGCATGAAAGTGCTTCAGGTGCAGCATCTCCAGGTTGGGCATCACCCTTCTGCCACCCCGTCTTTAAGACTGTGTGCCTGAGAGACTCTGAACCGCCCCTACTTTTTAGTGCAATGTGGGATAATAATAATAATAGACAAAATCACCATCAGTCAATAGCAAAAGGTGGGTTTACTTGGAACAATTTACATCCTGCGATGATACCTTTAACACCATCAAATAACATCTGCCTATCCCAGATACTTGGGAAGGACTCGATAGGTGGATAAAAATGCCAAATCCAGCCTAAACATCTGGCTGACTGTGTGGCCAACAATAACAGTAAAAATAGTACCAAAAACCTTGGATGGCACTTAGAAAACCTGAGCATTGACAAAATTTCCATCTGTCAGTTGCAAAAGGCCACACTGCTCGGATCCACACATACGCTACATTGATACATTACAACATCCTAGGTTCTTGGGAAGAACTCGATGCGAATGAAGGCCAACACCAGCTAAAGAACTGACAGCTATGATTTCACGTTGTTGTGTATATAATAATAATAATGAGGATGAGGATGATGAGGATGTATGCTGCCTGATTCTCAAGGACTCTGGGCGGCTCACAACCCAGCCTAAGTATCTGGTGCAGTAGATGGTAGAAACTCCAAAAACTGTATAGAGTAAACATGGCTTACTTAACTCTTACATTCTGCAAACACAACTAAAATGTTAAAAAAGCCAAAAAGAGGAATTACTAGCTTTACTCATCAGAGGAAAGTTTAAAGTGAATCAGGCCACTGTGGCTTTTCACCATATTTTGGTTAAAAGATCCTGGTGTCTTAGCGTTATATAAGACCAGGTTTTTATTTATATACAACGTGCACCAAAAGTCAGGCCCCAAAGACAATATATTTTATAAATACCATTAAACATTTGAATTGGTTTCCATTTTCTTCCAAACGCTTCCTTACTCATTTGACACATGACCCATGAGCTTTTCTATGTACAGTAACATTTTCTCTTACGGGTAGTCCCCAGTTTAAGAATGAATTCCATTCCCAAGGTCTATCCTTAAGTTGAATTTGTATGTAAGCTGAAACAGTATTATTGTACAATACTATATAAGTAGTATGGTGTAATGAACCCTTGTGTATTTAACTGGAATCATTGTGTATTTAACTCAAATTTTGCTATAATAGGCTACGTTCTTAACTATGGGTTGTCCTTAAGCCTAGCATTCTTGTCCTGGGGACTACATATATTCTGATTGGCCGGGGGGGGGGGGGGACTTTGGTACACCCTGTATGTATATATGTGTAAACACACACACATACACACACACACACACATACACCAATCAATGAAAATAAAACAAACCAGTACAAGCCTTGCTCATGTTGGAAAATGTAGCCCAATATGACATATATATAAACACAATTTCAGTCTGTCAGAGAATGAAGTCCACACCAAGGTTGTCCTTCAGCTTTTCCCAAATCCAGGGCTCACAGCTAATGGCTACCACTTTTTCTCAATCTTGGCATTCTGAGCAGCACAAGATTTTATTTATTTATTAAATTTTTCAACCGCCCATCTCCCCCCAATGGGGGAACGCTGGGCGATTCACAATAAACATTAGAACATAAAATATATAAACACATAAAACTTTCAATTAAAACATTACTAAAAAGAAGAAGGAGAGACCAAGAGGATGAAAAACCTGATGCTGAAGGCAGAGGCCTCTATGGGGTTAGCCACCCCATGCTTGTATTCTCACCCCACCCCAGGCCAGGTGGCGGAACCAGGTCTTCAAGATGGTTGAATCTCACCATCATTTTAATTTGCCACCAACACCCCATTCCCAGCCAAGCTGCACTTTGAGGAATTGTGGGAAATCACTCTGAAGCCCCCTTACTGAGACGATGCAGGCAACATTGCACATACTGGTAAATTACTAACCCCCCATACTCCTAACCAGGCTTTGGATTCCTTCTCATGCACTTGCTCCTGACTGGTCTTGGTTTTCATTCTTCTTTGCTTATATATTGTTTCTGCTGCAAAACACTGATTGTTAAGAAGTGATATATGAATGAATTCAATACTTCTACTGTTTATCATCATCTAACATTTAACTAGATCTGGCTGATGAAAGCAGTGTTTCCATAATCAAGCATTTGTTACCGTTCCGGCCTCAGTGAAAAATGGGGAAGAAGATCGAACCATATGAAAAATTGCCTAAATTGGTAGAACCAGACTTTTTCAAAAAGTTTTATTTGTTCAGTAAAACGTAACAAAAAATAGCAAAAAGACAACAAAAATGATATACTGTATATATTTAAGGGCTGCTCATATATACCGTTTGTCCTAGAAGTCTGTAATGGATTAAAAAGCCTTCCATCGGTAGATACAACCCATTATCTGTGTAATAAAAGTTACTAGGGCAATACAATGATGTGGTTTCAAAGAGAAAAAGGTGATCCAGAGTGCATGTGGGTGCATACATCCTACCTCCTTAAATCACAAGCAGAATATTCATATTATTCATATTCCTAATATTTACATTCACACCCTTCAAACCAGAAAATTGGTTCTGCAAATTCTCTTGGATAAAATTGGTTATAACATTGCATGCTACTAGAGATATAATTGTCTCCCCTTACATCTACAATAGTGGCAACTGCAGTATTTTCTTAGGGGCTGGCATCTCTTTCTGTGAAATGGAAGAGCTGGCTAAACCTGCCATCTTACTGGAGCACTAGATAATAAAGCTGAGCATCAGGGATTGGGGGCTTGAGCTGCAGAAGGAGAAACTAAATTGACATAATAAATGAGCAACAAATTGTGATGGCCTAGAAAACAGATTTGTCAGAATCATTGTTTGCTGCTTCTCTGTGAAATCTTATTGACTGATCTTCTGAATGTCATCTCTTGGCTAGAGAAATCCTGCCAATCAGCTGTTCTGAGCTTAAGGATCTAACTGTTGCTAAGTAGGTTACTTACTGTTGCTGAAGAAACCAGCAATTCTTTCATCGTAGAGTTGAAAGAAACAGGAGCAACCCCTTGTGATGCATTTCAATAGTACAGGCTAAACAGCTACCCTGGAAACAGAATGGTTATTCTAAGAGTCTGGCACAGCCAACAGGCCAAATTATTATGGCATGATAACTGGGCCCTCTTTGCTCTAAATCTTGTTAGGATCCATAGTTTCTTTGTTTCTTTGTTTAAAAAAACAAAGTTCTTATTTCTTCAGCTGATAGACCCACAATGGATGATTTGGCAGAAATAAGTTGATTTTCAAACACCTCTGGCCAACTTGAAAACCTGAATTATGAAAACTACTTATCATATTTAAGTGCTCTCCCTTGACTTGTGCCCTTGCCAATCAGTTTGCTTCTAGTGTCCCAGTTAGCTGCCTTGCTGTTGAATGATGCCACTTTAGGGCACGTGTTTTGTCCATACAAATGTGTTGACATGCGTGATGGAATGTATCTATGAGGAGGAGAGTGATGTGGGAGATCAAAGCTATCGGGAAGGAGGGGGTGCATTCCAGGAGAGAGGAGGAGGCAAGAGGCAGCGTAGTCCGCAGGGGGAGTGTGGGAAGCGAAAGAGGTTCAGGATGGCCACTCCCTAGAATCTCCCAGTCCACTAGTTGCTGTAGTGTAGATTAGTTTGGCAAGATTCTGTCTATCAGGTGTTAGCTAATAAAGGGACTGGACTGGAATGGACTATTTCTTCCTTGTTCTTGGGCTGGGCCTGACACATATGTGAAGGTGGGAGCAACAGCTTGTGATGAAAAGTGCAGCACAATAGCAGTGGAAAAAGAAGAGTCAGAAGCCTGGAAGAGAAATGAGGAGTACTGCACGTTAAAATGTCATCTACTCATCCTAGTATCAGCGCACAACAATGCTGGCATCAGATTTGCAGTCCGCATTACCGCTCTGTAACTGGCTCTACCGTGCCTAAATATTCCAAGTCCCTGCCAACTTGTGGTCCTGATTTGTGAGTAGACCACTCATTATAGGCAAGGTGATTTGTGTTCCCCTGTAGCTTTGCTGCTCTCTTTCCAGCCTGTCACCAGCCAGAGAAGAAAACATCCACCAGTCAGAGCACTGTGGCAGAAATTTGGTGGATCTGATTTCAGACTCTACCTGGGCTTCCCTGGGCCAGTTTGTCTTCCCACTTTCCACACCCTATTTGAACAACCCCCATGTTAAAATCATATCAAATATAAAAACATGGGAAGACATCAAAGCATAAACTGCCATGGAAAAGAGATTGCACAAATAAGTAGCTACTATAGAGCCAGAGAAAACTACAACTGACTAGCTGTGGAAAAATTACCTACCTCATATCACATGAAGGAGGGGAAGTGACTGAAATTGACAAATATAGGGAAATGTCAAATAAGCAACAAAACCTCCCTTGTTATTTGGGGAGCCCTGGGATGAAGAAAAGTGTGTCCATACTGTTTTGTTCCTTACCTTTAA